ACTCTGTAAACCGCTTAGAGAGGGCTGAAAGCCCAATGAAGCGGTATATAAGTCTAACTGCTATTGCTATTGCTATATAACCTTAAGAAATAGATGAGCCTTAACTTTCATATGGTCTCATCACAACCTTCAACAAAATTTGATGATCTTAGTCCTGGCAGGAATACAGTATATTCCAAAACAGATACTTATCCTCTTGTGATAAGTGAGATGAGACCATTGAGAAGCAGATGTGCTTAATTATAGTTCAGAACCTATGCTCCATGGAACCTATGCTCCATGTTCAGAACCTATGCTCCATGGAACCTATGCTCCATGTTCAGAACCTATGCTCCATGGAACCTATGCTCCATGTTCAGAACCTATGCTCCATGTTCAGAACCTATGCTCCATGGAGCATAGGTTCTAGCTTTGAAGGGATTCCACCTGCCATCATCTCCTTGGGATTCCTTGCCAGAAGGGTCATAAGGTCTTTGTTTGTCTTATTATATTCTTTAGTATAATTGAATAGTCTTTGATTGCTGGTTTGGGTTACGTCAGAGGTGGTACTCAGTCAGTTCTGACTGGTTTTGGCGAACCAGTAGGAGAAATTTTGAGTAGTTCAGAGAACCGGCAAATACCACCCTTGGCTGGCTCCACCCCCATCTATGCACTGCCTTCTGAGTCCCAGCTGATCGGCTGGGTCTTCTGTTGCCCTGCACAGGAGAATGGAGCTGGGAAGCAGGGTAGTGGGGTGGGGAGGGAATGGGGATTTTATCGTATCTTTGCTTTGGAGTGGAGTGGAAATGGGGATTTTGCAGTATCCTTCCCCTGCCACGTTCACCAAGCCACGCCCACCAAGCCACACCCACAGGACCGGTATAAAAAATTTTGAATCCCACTACTGGCACATGATTATGTTATTTTCTTATCCTGCCTCAATAGATCATAATACATTATCATTGTTTCTGAGTGCAAAAGTACCTCTAACTCAACTCTTCTGGGAAATGTAGTGTGTTGAGGAAACAGAAAATTCTGAAAAAATGACCCACAGAACTACCTTTCAGTAGGAGCTGTGTTATCTACAACAAGGCCAGACCTACTTCTCGGGATCCATCTAGTAAAGCAGATCCAGATTTTAATTATTTACCTCAGGGGGCACATCAAAAGCTTCCACTTCCGCATCTGTTGAATTTGTTTTATCTGGAGAGGAAGGTGGCTTGCCATCTTCTGCCCCTTTGTCTTTTCCGGTCCCTTTTGAACTTTTAGAATCTTTGTCCTTTGGTGACCCCCGCTTCACATCCTTGATCATCTTTGAGAACTTTGATTCCTGAGCTCCACCAGAGAGGATTTCCACTGCAAGCTCAATTAGGAGACGTCCCCTAAAAGAGACACCTTCCCCGTAACCTTCGTTGAGCTCCTGATAGTCATCCATCAAGCTGTGGTTTCTGGGTGCCCCATAAAGATTGATCCAAGCGGGCCCAAAAGTAGGCAGGAAACCTGGGAAAAAAGAGACACATTCCATAAAGAGAAAGTCTAATAAAGCAGGAGAAAAACAAAGAATGCCCAGACAAGCGGGCATGTTTAGTTGCGTGCCAATTAAATGTTTGAGTTGACACAGTGGCTTCCTGCCCGTCTTATAAATTGATATATTTATTTGCTAGTAAATCTATAGAAGAGAAATAAAGTCTTGACTAGAAACTATAGGTGACTTTTAAATAATTGTAAATGAATTGGGTGTGTGTGTGCTTTATTTGTACCTTATCCAATCCAGTTGAGGAAAACAAGAGAGTTTGATTTCCATGAAAAGAAGCTCCAGTAAAGGAAGTATGACTGAAAACCAAGTTCTTGGATAGCTTTTCTACAATTTTAGATATATGTACTGTGGTGAACTAAAATAACAGGAAATGCATTGTGTATATGCATTTGGGTACAGTGGTGGGATTCAATTTTTTTTACTATCGGTTCTATGGGCGTGGCATGGCTTGGTGGGCATGGCAGGGAAAGGATACTGCAAAATCNAACTGTTCTTCATATGTTTTAGTCTCCAGTCCCCTAATCATTCCATATTCTTTTCATCAATGCTACTCTCATTACCCATTCACTCATCCTTTTGCCTTCAGCCTTAGTCACACCATTTGCCATCAAAGGATGTTGATGTCTCTGATTTAATATGCAGACAGATCAGATATAAATATAAGAACACCAAGGAGATAACAGCTGTTGGCGCTTCCTACCATCCCAAGATTGGCACTGCATATAATTTAAAGTAGAACTAGAACATAGAACACAGAATAATAGGATTGGAAGGGACCTTGGAGATCCTCTAGTCCAATCCCCTGCTCAAGCAGGAGACTATTGTTCCAGCTGCCCAGTCTCTCCTGGAAAACTTGCAATGATGGAGCACCCACAACTTCTGGAGGTAAGATGTTCCACTGATTAATTGTTCTGTCAAGAAATTTCTCTTTAATTCTAGGTTGGATCTCTCTTTAATCCTCCTCCATCTGTGACATCTTGTTTTGCCCCTAGGTCAGTGGTTCTCAACCTTCCCAATGCCGTGACCCTTTAATACAGTTCCTCATGTTGTGGTGACCCCCAACCATAAAATTGATGTCTCGGTTCCTAAGACCATCAAAAATTTGTGTTTTCCAATGATCTTAGGCAGCCCCTTTGAAAGGGTTGTTTGACCCCCAATGGGGTCCCGACCCACAGGTTGAAAACCACTGCCCTAGGTGCTTTGGAGGCAAACAGAAGGCCAGCTCCATTGGTCTCTGCCTTTAGAGATTTGCGTGTTGACATAGGCCCAGTACAAATTGTAAAGCGTTTTAAGAACATATGACTTCTACATGAACCTTCTGTAGTGAGGGTGGCTCCAACAGAGGAAGAATTAGATAATGCTGTATGCCTCTTTCTTAATATTCTCATGTAGTGGACAAACATGTAGTGCATAATTAAGCAAATATTTGTTTTAGTCACTAAAAGGTCACACTCTTCCGCCTAGTTCTTTGTTCTGACTTGTAGAGTAGAATGGTAATTTCCCATCTTCATAAGAGCCGAGGTGGCGCAGTGGTTAAATGCTGCACTGCAGGCTACTTCAGCTGACTGCAGTTCTGCAGTTCAGCTGTTCAAATCTCACCGGCTCAGGGTTGACTCAGTCTTCCATCCTTCCGAGGTTGATAAAATGAGGACCCAGACTGTAGTTAAAGAATATATCATTTCTTCTTGCAGGATAGATTAAATTGCCTTACACACTCATAGCCACAGTTTTCCATTGGAGGAAAAAAGATGGTACCCAAATAGAGGTGGTATTCAGCAGGTTCTGACCAGTTCTGGAGAACCGGTAGTGGAAATTTTGAGTAGTTCGGAGAACCAGTAAATACCACCTCTAACTGCTCCCTCCCACATCTATTCTCTGCCTCCCCAGTCCTAGCTGATCGGGAGGGAATGGAGATTTTGCAGTATCCTTTCCCTGCCATGCCCACCAAGCCATGCCACGCCCATAGAACCGATAGTAAAAAAAA